TGTGTGGGAGAGAGAGAGAGAGAGAGAGAGAGAGAGAGAGAGAGAGAGAGAAATATTTTTCCACTACTTTTCCACACAAAACCTTTTTTTCTTCACTTCACTAAAGCTTATCCTTCTGTGTGAAATGGCATTCAAAACCCATTGCACTTCCCTAATGTAATGGGGGGAAAAAAATACAAATTTGAGTGTGAAAAGTGGCCGTTTCATGCCAGAATTAACCAATACGGCTGTAATGACTCATAGTGGTTGTTCAGCTGAAAAGGGAAGTTGTTTCAGAGGTGAGCCAAGCTATTACATTAAAAGAAAGATTATGAAGACATTTATTTTTATTTAGAATAATGTGCACTAATGAATCATCAACCACTAATTTCTAAAGAGATGTAGGCCTACTATTGCAGGTCTGACGATTGAAGACACTGGTATTTGGGTGGAAGATCAACAACAACACGTCCTTTACAAAGAAGTGATGGTACCACGGTACAACAATGCTGTCAGAGTTAAATGTGTTCTCAGAAGACAGGGACATAATCCACCCAGTGCATGAGGACAGACTGTAACAACACACACGATTCACATGCTAACTGAGATCGGACCTGGCACTTTCCAAGAATAGGGTAAAAAAAAAATGCAGTCATTTGTTTCTTTTTGTCAAATATCAATGCTTATTGCTTAACTTTCAGAAAATGTACATTATCAACTTCAAAGATCAAACAATTGCTATAACTTGCAACTGGTTTGTAAAATATGTTTTTATGTATGTTTTTGGGCTGCATTTACACCAGCAGACTTATTTTACAAAGCAATTGATTAAGAGTTTTGAAAAGCTCCATTTCTTCCATCACTACTGGTAATGCCATTTTATAATTTTTTTAAAATACTTAAATTCACTTAGACAATAAGAAAAAATAGTCTTAATTTAGTTTCACGTGTTGCTTTCAAGCCTTTTTATTACCTTGAAAATTAAACAATACAATTAAACAGTATTTCTAATGCTGTATGTTTAAAGGGGTCATATGATGTTGCTAAAAAGAACATTTTGTGTATTTGGTGTAATGAAATGTGTTTATGCGGTTTAAGGTTCAAAAAACACATTATTTTCCACATACTGTACATTATTGTTTCTCCTCTATGCCCCGCCTTTCTGAAACACGTCGATTTTTACAAAGCTCATCGGTCTGAAAAGCGAGGTGTGCTCTGATTGGCCAGCTATCTAGTGCATTGTGATTGGCCGAATTCCTCAAGCGTGTGACGGAAATGTTACACCCCTTACCATACTGTTGATGCCGTGTTCCAGCGCGACGAGACAAAACCAATAAAACCCATTACAAACTAGGCTTTTGTTGCATCCAGTGGGGACATAATTACTGATTATAATGACTTATACACATGGTGGCGGCGGCAACAATACTACAGCGAGAATCATAGTTACGCCTTCTTTCTTTGAGTATACATTTGTGCGGTGTTATGCAAATCTTGCCATACAGTGACGTAGACGTGGGGGCGTGTTTAAACGAGGCGTTTTAGAAGGGCATGGACGACTCTTAACTTTTATAAAGAATATCTCTTTGGGTTTGAGACTTCACTCAGTCATTTTTTGTTCATGTTGCGCCAACCAATATGGCAGCTGACTTTGACTTAATGTGCGGTCACATTAGCGAAATGTCAGCATAATTTCCCATGGAAAAGGTCCATGGAGATGTAGCCTATGAAGCATTGCTCACACAGGAGTTGCTTTTAAACCAAGCAGCTTTCTGCTGGTTCAACCAACATGAACATGAGCAAAATCTGTGTGGAAAAACGTCTCAGGTTACTTATGTAACCATGGTTCCCTGAGTAGGGAAGAGAGAGGATTCTTATTGGAATGACGGTCCACATTGATTTCGTCCACAAAATTTCACGTAAAGGTGATTGCACATTTATACTGACACCTAGTGGTGTGGATGTAGCATTGTGCAAAGCAATTGTTTTTGCTTGCTGATTTCATTGTAGAAACACCCTATTCACATTCAGTTCAAATTAGTATATTCTGTGAACGAAAATGTTCAATAATCACAGAAGTCATGTGATTTCATCATGTTGGCCCCCATTAGGTGATCTGCTCCACATATAGAATAGCTTTTATTAGGCTACTGAAATGAGTGGAGTGGGTGGAAGTCATTTGAAAGATTTTTAACAAGTGCTACTCATTTCTTTTATGGCAAAAATAAATTGTAATGAGAAAAAAAAAATCGAATGCACCTTAATGTGTAAACGACTGCTGTTATGATTGGCTGCCTTCATTGTGTGTGAAATAGCAACAATGCCCACACGTGGCGTTGATAAGCACTGGATTTGTGGCTGTCTGTAGGGTGTGATGGGTCTGATCTTCCTGTGTGTGGAGGATGTGTTTCAACTCATCAACTACTTCAGCTTCAGTTACTGGCTGTATTTAGGCATGTCTGTGGCCGGACTCATTTACCTGCGCATCACTCAGCCTGACAGACATGTCACAGGCCGGTCAAGGTAACTGGATCCATGCAGCGGTCCAGCATACACATCTGATTATTACATGGTGTTTGAATAACAGTATGTGTTATTCTGTGTGTTTGTTGACTAGGTCTTTTTCTCCATTAGCTCACATTAGCTCACATTGTTTCCCTTCGTCTACTGCCTGTGCAGTGTGTTCCTCGTGATCATTCCTCTGTACAGCGACACCATTAACTCTCTCATAGGAGTTGCTATCGCACTGTCTGGAGTGCCAATTTATTACCTGTGTGTCTACCTGCCTGAAGAGAAACAACCAAAATGGATTGGTAAACTAAATGGTGAGGATAATAATATTATACATTTATTAATGTAAGAGGATCAAAAAAATTAAGCTGCAAATTTCCTGACGTCAGATATGAATGCATTTAAATTTATAATCACCAACACTTAGGTTGAGAAGGTTTAGGTGTTGGTTCCGTGATCGATTTAAATTGACTTTACCAGTTTGACCTCTGTTTGACAAAAAAGTAAATGCAGCACAGTGGTGTAAATGTAGGTTTACAGAGTTATAAAGGCATAGCAGAAAAGATGTTTCATTGTAAGGGTCAGAGAGAGTAAAATGGTCATTCAAAAAATAGGAATTTTGCCACATGAAACACTAATATCTCATAGGATATATTATTTTATTTTAATATGAAGAAGCAGCAATTTCATGATTTGTAATTTTGAGTGTCAGGGAGAGTAACATGGTCATGAAAAAAATGAGAACTTAATAATATTAATATCTTACAGGAATTTTAATTTTATAACTGGAATATGCGGAAGCAGTGAAAGTCTTGATTTGTAATTGTAAGGGTCTGAGAGAGTAAAATGGTCATAAAAAATTGGGACTTAGGCAACAGCAACAACAACAAAAAAAACACTAATATCTCACAGGAATTTATTATAGTTTAATTTGATCTCATTTAATTTTAACTGTAATATGAAGAAGCAGTGAAAGGAAACATATCAGCTCTTTTTGACAGCGATGAACTGTTTTCCTCCTTTTTTTGTGTGTGCATATAGTCATGCTGTGAAAGCATTATAACCATAGCAGCTACCACTCCAACACAACAAACTTGTGACTATTATTCATGCAAGTTCACAGTTCTGCTTAATTTATTTTGTGAATCTTTTAACTAAATGCAAGCCAAGGAGTGGTTGGATGTTTTCTTTTGGTATGAAGGAGGACCTAAAATTCAGACTCAGAAATGTTTTATGAGATACAAAGTTATGTACACAACCAGAACTAGTCACAAAATGTTCAAGTTCATGCTTAAAATAATAAGGTTCATGCTTAAAATAAGAAAAAAATATTTCCCAATGGGATGGTGCAGGTAAAATGATAGGTAAATCAATGTATAATAATATTTTTTTATTTTGTTTTATAATTTAATTGGAAAATCTTTTTTTTTCAGTGTAACTACATTGCTCCTGTTTTCTCCAGCCTGTTTCTCTCTCTTTCCTCCATGCCAGATTCTGTCACCAAATACACTCCGATCATGTGCTACTGCTGCTTAAAGGGATAGTTCACCCAAAAATGAAAATTTGATGTTTATCTGCTTACCCCCAGGGCATCCAAGATGTAGGTGACTATGTTTCTTCAGTAGAACACAAACAAAGATTTTTAACTCAAACCGTTGCAGTCTGTCAGTCATATAATGGAATTGAATGGGAATCACGGCTTTGGGAGTCAGAAAAACATACACAAACAAAACCAAATTAAACCCTGCGGCTCGTGACGATACATTGATGTGTACAGACACGAAACGATCGGTCTGTGCAAGAAACTGAACAGTATTTATATTGTTTTCTACCTCTGATGCACTGCAATGTCTGCACTGTCCTGAGCACGTCCTTGACAGCCAGCGCGTCACGCGTCTTCTTCTTCTTCTTGCTTTACGGCAGATCGCAGACTTATAAGTGCATTACCGCCACCTATCTCTCAAATGGACCAAGTTAATACTTGTAGCAAAGTTTGTACTATTTTCTGCTTATTTTCATAAATAAAATAATTAATTTTTGTTCAATAAATATACTGTCATTAAAATATGTTAATATAAAAATTATATTTTAAAATACAAAAACAAAATGATGCTCGTGACGATACATTGATGTGTACAGACACGAAACGATCGGTCTGTGCAAGAAACTGAACAGTATTTATATTGTTTTCTACCTCTGATGCACTGCAATGTCTGCACTGTCCTGAGCACGTCCTTGACAGCCAGCGCGTCACGCGTCTTCTTCTTCTTCTTGCTTTACGGCAGATCGCAGACTTATAAGTGCATTACCGCCACCTATCTCTCAAATGGACCAAGTTAATACTTGTAGCAAAGTTTGTACTATTTTCTGCTTATTTTCATAAATAAAATAATTAATTTTTGTTCAATAAATATACTGTCATTAAAATATGTAATGTAAAAATACATTTTAAAAATATTTTTAAAGATTAGATTCTGAATGCATTGAAGGAAATCCCATAATAATTTAATATAGATTTACAGTAGTAACAACAAATGACATTTTATTATATGATGTATGATTAATATCAGATTTTTAAATATGATGGTTTCATTATAAACATGGTGATTATCTCTAAGGTGGACACACAACTTAACATATGATATTTGCTAGCTTATCTGAATCTAACCATGCCAGCTATTTATTATCATGTTAGCCTATTTATTGTGCCTTTCGCCCCAACAGCAGTGGCGCTTTTTACCCCAAATACCGTTATTATTAATTACCTTAAACAAAAATGAAAATCATCAAGAAGACATTTGTCTCAAAATCTATTCAATAAATTTAGAGATTCTCATTTGCTACAACATTTTTTTTTTTAAACAAACAAACAAACAAAAAATATCAAATATTAGATCAAACTTGCACAGAATCAGCTTTGCGTCAGGATCAGCCAAATTTTCACATGCATCTTGAAAAGCGGATGTTTTGGAAAGTGCTACTTCAAGTTGTTGTGCTATTAGTGGTTTAGAGGAAAATAAAATTAAAGGTGCCTTTAGCCCTGTTATACCTGCATGTAAAAAATAAAACACATAGGCCTGTAGACCTTTAAATGTAGGCTACACTATGTATTTACTGCTAGCCTACCTGGGGCGCCTGCAGGGTTTCACCTGAGGGCACGCACAGAGACGCATTTGTTTATTTATTGATGCATTTATTTATTTATGAATGAAGGCATCTCTAGACACGCATAAAAAAAACTCTTTAAACCTGAAAACGGCAAAAAAGCAACGGAATGGTCATAAGACATCCATCGCAATGTTCACATTGGAAAACAATGCGGGTGGAGACAAAAACCGTTTCGGTGTGAATCGCTTCGCTTATTCACACTCATAGGACTCAGGACAGCACAGCAGTAGCTGAATTTTTTTAAGTTAACTTTCAAAATGTAGTCTTTTGTTTTATTTGTTTGTAGTTGATTGTCCACTTCTTCCAGCACGGTCCTTGTGTTCTTGTTTGATTTAGACTACTGACTGAGAAACCGCTTTAGGATAGGCAGAGGGTGAACTAACTGAAGCTGTCTACACTGTCAAATTAATCTCTTACTTACATCTGCACATCTGCACTGTTTATGATCAGAATTCGCGATGAGATAGAGACTGCAGGATTCAGTCTGCGAGCAAATCTCGCAGCGATGACTCATCTGAACGCCTCTGATTGGCCATTGCATTCATAAACTCAACAGAATCGTGTGTGATTGGTTATAATGCGCAACGCTGCAAAACGTGTAAAAGGAAATATGATGCGATATGAGTAGATCTAAATGTAATGCTGCAGTCAACACTTTTGCTTTAATTTTCACTTTATTTGCGACAGCTGTAATAGATTTAACTGAGCAGGGGTATTTTTGTCCAATTTGGTGGCATTTTTGCCTCAAACCCCCGTTAATTTCAGACCCGTGGCCAAAGGCTCTATGCTTCAGTCAGTACGTTTACATGGATAACAATAATCTGATATTAATATGATTAAGACAATACTCTGATTAAGAATCTACCATGTAAACAGAGATTTTTGATTACCTTAATCCGGCTAAAGTCATATTCGAAGTAAACAGAAATCGAATTAAGACATGTGGAGTATTCCTATTTTAGTCGCATTACTGAAGTGCAGAATAGACATGTAAACACCTTAATCACATTATTACCGTCGTGAAGGACTTTTCGCCGCATTTTGCGACAGGATACACACAGGGCAGTGCTCAACCGTTTGACGGCAAATAAAAGAGCTTCAACACTACCGTCGTCTGTATGCACGTACAAATAATTAACTGCACTTGAAGCTTTCATAAAATTCAAAATGAAACACCCAAAACTGTACATGGCATCATCACGAAGAC